GAGAATCCTGGTCAAAGTTGAAACGTCTTAAGACCAGAGCTCCAGATAAGATTTAGCTAATGTGGGTACTGTACTCAATGTATTTTTTTGAAGTGGGTATTATGAATGTTGAGTGGGAATTTCATTTTCCGTTACCCACTGCTTTCACATATGTGCGTATTTCAGTCATGTTACTCACCTAAGTATTATGTCAGTGAGTAAGTTTACTAAGCAGGTATGTTCTGCCTTATGTCATACCTAATCAAAACCAACTTAAATATAATGGAAATGATTTCATAAAAAAATCACTCATCCTGTACTGACAGTACAACACTTGTCCTATACTAACAGTACAACTTGATAGCAATCGATGTCTTTTCATTACGCAAGCGATTTCTATAAATATATTCCGTATGCATTTGTTTTAAACCTTTTGCGTATCTAACATTTCAAATGCGTAATTGGTACGCAACAATGATTTTTCAATGCGTAATTGGAAATTTTCTAAGCGTATTTTACCCGGATACGCAGCTTATCTGGGCCTCTGTAAGACTATTCTGTAACATGCACATTGTACCTAAAATGGGTAGAGCTTCAGTTCAGGAGAATATCAGAAGGACAGCGATACACTTGTCTCCAATGTTGTAGAAGACACTCCACTTACTTACGAAAACAATCACCCAATGAGATATTGCATTCATGTCGAATTCAATTTTTTCGGCCCCTATCAGATGTGAACTTGAACATGCAAGGTCTGCGTCTATGTCAGAATAAAGGTCTACGAGTTGTTTAGCAGCACTGGGGCGTAATAGTCATATAGGCCTGCTCCAAACAACGGAATATATATCTTTTGAGAAGGACTTCTCCGACGGGTAAAGGTACAGCAATGCAACATTACGAAAAATCTTTTTCTTTCACTATTTTTCATTTCATATCTCACAGAATATATAATTTGATGGGCGAGAGTTTTTAATATCGTTCTAACTTAGTCGAATTAAGTCAAAATGAGCTGAAATTTGTGTCATGATGCTTATAAACATACCTTCATTCATTTACAACCTCCAAAACATGAATTCTGAGCGAAATTAAACATTCTCGCCCATGGGCCAATATATTTTTCGCCCATGGGCGAGAATGTTTAAGTTTGCTCAGAAGCGAGTTTAAATCTAAAGTTTTCGCCAATTTTTTTCATTTTTTCATCCTTGGCACATAACAACTGCATGTTTAATTTGGTCAAATCACTTGTCAGAAAGTACCCACAGTGCAGAGAGTTTCTGGACTTTTGTGAGTCCAGAATTAAATTGTGACGTGTTAATGACATTTGTTATACTGTTAACACAGCGATTGCTAACAGGTGGCAAAGTCTTGCCGCCATCAGTAACATTTGAAACAGATACAAAATATTCATTTAATGTTTGAGCTTTATCCAAATCTGTAAAACCTGAAGGTATCCCAGAATCATCAGTGACAAGAAGGGGAGTGGGCCCCGATGAAGTACTAACCACCTGATTGAGTAGACTGAGGTGATAAATGGTTATCAAAATTAGAATAAAAGTTTCCCTTGGCTATTCTTTTCAGATTATTTACTTTATTCCTTTGCTTTTTGTATTTAAATAGCTCAGAAGTATTCAGAGATCGAAATGCTTTTTTCCTTAGACGTTCTCATTTCTTTTAAGTATGTTACGAGGGGCGTTGAAAAAGTAGTCAAACTAACTATATTCTCGATGTCCAATGTTTGAAAAGAAGCTTCCATTTTATTTTGAAGGAATCATTAGCAAAGTCATATCAAAAATTTCATGTGGGTAATGTGGTTAACGATATATTAGTCATCACAACATTGGGGTATTATGCTTCTTGCAAATTTGCAGAAAATGGAAAACATTACATGTGAAATGTAATGGGATAAGAAGATTTATTACCCTTATAAAAAATTTGTCGAATTCTGATTGGCCAATAGCCAAAACATACGAAACCACGTAGGCGGATTTGCCAGGGTGTACGAACCTTACACCCCATCAAATCTGTCAGGTGACATAATACACTGGTTGTACAAATCACCTTGACCTTAGATGGAATGTGGCTGCCAAACGGTTGATTGCTTCGAAATTTTAGAGTAGGCGTATACAATTATGTGTATAAACAGAGTAATAAAATTATTGCCACAATTTCTTATTTGTTTGTGTCAATAAAAATATATAAAAATGAAATGTTTCTGTATTTCGCTTGCTGTTTAACAAAAGCTCGAATTCGATCATTTTTATGATAAACTAAGTCATCCCGAGTTATTTCCCTTTATGACCGTTCCGGGAAAAAAATCGGGCTAGAATATTGGCCTTCAGTAACCCATGCTTGTCGTAAGAGGCGACTAACGGGATCGGGTGGTCAGGCTCGCTGACTCAGTTGACACAAGTCATCGGTTCCCAATTGCGCAGATCGATGCTCATTCTGTTGATCACTGGATTGTCTGGTCCAGACTCGATAATTTACAGACCGCCGCCATATAGCTGGAATATTGCTGAATGTGGCGTTATACTAAACTCACTCACTCACTCAGGAAAAAAATCATGGCGAAACGTTTTGCGTCTCATTCTGCCAAAGATTAAATGTTGGTTTTCAAAGATACGCCGCGAGGACGAGAAATCACTTTCTTTGTGGGGTATGAGTCTGTTTAACATCCCGCAATGAAGCTAAAGACCGTTCGTCACTAAAACGTCAATTAAAGAAGAAGTCTATGTGCCATTCAAAGATCTGCGTCATTTAAAGTCATAGTCATTTACTGCAGGAGCTAGTCGAACTACTTGATATCTATCAACTTTCAGTTCATCTTTTACGACAGATTGAAGCTTGTCGGCAAGAGGAAATCGGTGGCAGTATCCCATGGCTTGTGTTTTTATTGTTAGGCGTTATAATTCATGCATCTCCGCTCTTTATGTCATCAACCCAGCTCGTGTTATAACACATACCGCGGAAAATACCCGTCAAGATCAGGGTTAGAATTTCTCAATCAGAAATCATCTGAACATTAATGTATTTCTTTGGGATTCTGTTGTTTCCCTCATTAAGACGTATTTTCAATGCAGAGAATAGGGATTGCCACAGTGAGTGATCAGTCGCGTCAGCTGCATCTTCAACGGTCTCTGCTCATTGTTGTTAATCACTGTCATGTATCACTACGCCTGACCAGAGCCCAACTGCATCTTTAACGGTATCCGATTATTGGTCCTAATCACTGTCTAATTACTGTGATGCATCACTACTAATCACTGTCATGATCACAGAGCCGATATATGAAACAACATACAGGGCTGTCAAGGTGAGTGTCAAACACGAGGGTTTCACGCTTGATTTAGTGACGTAGACAATGCCTCAATGAATAAATGATGACATCATGAACTAAAGGACGTATTTATTGATTGAGTGGGAAAGATGTCAATAGTTTCATACGATAAAATTCATGTTTTGAAAGAACTATCCAAAGTGAATATTCTCGTCAGATAGCTTGCGACCTTTTGGTTTTGACAAATAACACATATCAGAATGGTTTCTAATCGAATCACCTTTACCTGCATGACATCTCTTTACATATAGGTTGTATCTGTTTACCTGCCTGACATCTCTTTACATACAGGTTGTATGTGTTTACCTGCATGACATCTCTTTACATATAGGTTGTATCTGTTTACCTGCTTGACATCTCTTTACATGTAGGTTGTATCTATTTACCTGCTTGACATCTCTTTACATGTAGGTTGTATCTATTTACCTGCTTGACATCTTTTTACATACAGGTTGTATCTGTTTACCAGCCTGACATCTCTTGACATATAGGACATCTCTTGACATATAGGTTGTATCTGTTTACCTGCCTGACATCTCTTGACATATGGGTTGGATCTGTTTACCTGCCTGACATCTCTTTACATATAGGGTGTATCTGTTTACCTGCCTGACATCTCTTTACATATAGGTAGTATCTGTTTACCTGCCTGACATCTTTTTACATATATGTTGTATCTGTTTACCTGCTTGACATCTCTTTACATGTAGGTTGTATCTATTTACCTGCTTGACATCTCTTTACACACAGGTTGTATCTGTTAACCTGCCTGACATCTCTTGACATATAGGCTGTATCTGTTTACCTGCCTGACATATCTTGACATATAGGTTGGATCTGTTTACCTGCCTGACATCTCTTGACATATAGGTTCTATCTATTTACCTGCCTGACATCTCTTGACATATAGGTTCTATCTATTTACCTGCATGACATCTCTTTACATATAGGTTGTATCTGTTTACCTGCTTGACATCTCTTTACATACAGGTTGTATGTGTTTACCTGCATGACATCTCTTTACATATAGGTTGTATCTGTTTACCTGCTTGACATCTCTTTACATATAGGTTGTATCTGTTTACCTGCTAGACATCTCTTTACATATAGGGTGTATCTGTTTACCTGCTTGACATCTCTTTACATACAGGTTGTATCTGTTTACCTGCCTGACATCTCTTGACATATAGGGTGTATCTCTTTACCTGCATGACATCTCTTTACATATAGGTTGTATCTATTTACCTGCCAGACATCTCTTTACATATAGGGTGTATCTGTTTATCTGCCGGACATCTCTTTACATATAAGTAGTGTCTGTCACCTGCCTGACATCTCTTTACCTATAGGTTGTATCTGTTTACCTGCCTGACATCTGTTTACATATAGGTTGTATCTATTTACCTGCCTGACATCTCTTTACATATAGGTTGTATCTATTTACCTGCTTGACATCTCTTTACCTATAGGTTGTTTATGCTTACCTGCCTGACATCTCTTTACATACAGGTTGTATCTGTTTACCTGCCTGACATCTCTTTACATATATATTGTATCTGTTTACCTGCTTGACATCTCTTTACATACAGGTTGTATCTGTTTACCTGCTTGACGTCTCTTTACATATAGGTTGTATTTGTCTACGTGCTTGACATCTCTTTACATATAGGTTGTATATGGTTACCTGCTTGACATCTCTTCCCTTCATATCCAGCTGGACAAGAGCACGCTCCCCCAGCCACTATGGTGTTGCAGGTGCCCCCGTTGGCGCAAGGATGCGCAGTGGAACACACATCACCGGAAACCACCGCAGGCGGTGTGGCGGACTCTGTTAAAATAAAACATGAAGTGCCGTCTTAACATCCACGTTCTTCTATCCTGTTCTTTTATCTCGCGGGGTGGTTGGGTAGCTTAGTGAATAAAGCGTTCACTCAAAGTCACGCCGAAGACCCGGGTTCGATTCCCCACATGATTACAGTGTGTGAAGCAGATTCCTGGTGTCCCCCGCCGTGATATTGCTGGAATATTGCTAAAAGTGGCGTAAAACTAAACTCACTCACTCACTTCATATGTATCCTGTTCTTAATATCTTGCTCTAGTAAACCTCTAGAATGCATGTGCAGTCATTGTGTACCAACTCAGGGTGACAATTAGATGCACACAAAGCAGGTTATCATACGAAACAGGTTTCCATGTCAAGAGGTGTTACGAGTTGAGTGAAGCAAGTCATAATGTTTTGTCTGATGATCGTGAATATGGATGAGTGCTTCACCTTCGTCTTGACACCAGGATAGGTTTCTTTTCATTGTGGTGTCGAGTAACGTCATAAGCTTGGCTGCATCTAAATGTCTCATTGTGAGAACAGGGAACAAACGCTGCATGGGTGTATTGGTCTATAAGAGTGAGCGAGTCTGACTACCCGATCCCGTTAGTCGCCTCTTACGACAAGCATAGTCGCCTTTTGTGACAAGCATGGGTTGCTGAAGACTATTCTACCCCGGATCTTCACTGGTCTGGTCTATAAGAATCCCAAGTTACAAAGTAATTACAGAGCCAATACAACGACAACAAAACCGACAATATTTATTATCATGCCAGTGTCAAGTCCTTCCTTACATGGCTTGTTTATTGCTGTTGTGACATTAGATGGGAAATATCTCGAACGCAAGTCACGATAAGCGACACTGTTTTCGACAAATATTTAAATTCTTGAGACAACTGATCTGCAATGTGACCTCAACATATATGTAAAGCAATGGTTTCAGATTATACCAGTGACTGTGAACACGGGTGGGGGGTTGGGGGCTCAGGGAGTGGGGTTGTATAGTTACAGTAATTCCGTATATGTGTGTGTGTGCGCGCGATGCGCGCGTGCGTGTGTGCGTGTGTACGTGCGAGTGCGTGTCTGTGTCGTTGTTATTATAATACATGTTGGTGTTACAACCTGCTTGATTGTCTTTCAGTTACATGTCACGTGATGGTGTTACAGCTTTCCAGAATAGTCTAGTCCAGTTACAAGCCACTTGATGGTGTTATTATATTACATGTTGGTGTTTCAATCTGCTTGATTGTTTTTCAGTTACATGTCACGTGGTGGTGTTACAGCTTTCCAGAATAGTCTGGTCCAGTTACATGTCACGTGATGGTGATGGTGTGTAACAAATGGGGTATTCAACTCACCACACTTTCCTCCTGTGTACCCTGGTGCGCAAACACAGGCCTCTCTTTGACATGTGGCCCCGTTCATGCAGTCTGCACTTGTGGAGCACTCTGTTAATAATCAACAAACAGATTAAATATAAACCTATAGACATCGGAATTTAAAGACATTCACTTGAAAAACAAGAAGGGTTTTGATGTAAACCAATAGACATAGGAATTAAAAGACATTCACTTGAAAAACAAGAAGGGTTTTGATGTAAACCTAAAGACATCGGAATTAAAAGACCTTCACTTGAAAAACAAGAAGGGTTTTGATGTAAACCTAAACACGTCGGAATTTAAAGACATTCACTTGAAAAACAAGAAGGGTTTTGATATAAACCTATAGACATCGGAATTTAAAGACATTCACTTGAAAAACAAGAAGGGTTTTGATGTAAACCTATAGACATCGGAATTTAAAGACATTCACTTGAAAAACAGGAAGGGTTTTGATGTAAACCTAAAGACATCGGAATTTAAAGACATTCACTTGAAAAACAAGAAGGGTTTTGATGTAAACCTATAGACATCGGAATTTAAAGATATTCACTTGAAAAACAAGAAGGGTTTTGATGTAAACCTAAAGACGTCGGAATTTAAAGACATTCAGTTGAAAAACAAGAAGGGTTTTGATGTAAACCTAAAGACGTCGGAATTTAAAGACATTCACTTGAAAAACAAGAAGGGTTTTGAGGTAAACCTAAAGACGTCGGAATTTAAAGACATTCACTTGAAAAACAAGAAGGGTTTTGATGTAAACCTAAAGACGTCGGAATTTAAAGACATTCACTTGAAAAACAAGAAGGGTTTTGATATAAACCTAAAGACGTCGGAATTTAAAGACATTCACTTGAAAAACAAGAAGGGTTTTGAGGTAAACCTAAAGACGTCGGAATTTAAAGACATTCACTTGAAAAACAAGAAGGGTTTTGATGTAAACCTAAAGACGTCGGAATTTAAAGACATTCACTTGAAAAACAAGAAGGGTTTTGATGTAAACCTAAAGACGTCGGAATGTAAAGACATTGAGTTGAAAAAGAAGGGATTTAATGTAAAACTGTGGATATCGTTTTTTGAGAAGCACAATTACTGTAAATAATGCGATAAGGGGTTGTCATTATCGATGACATAAAGGACAGTATCAATATCCTCCCAAGCGCATGATTCGACGTGAAGTCTATAATAACCTAATTGCAGATACTGTTAAGCGTGCTGACTAACCTGAAAATATGGCTGGCTGCTTCTGGTTTATTGCATAGAGCAACGTTCGATGTAGATCCTACACCGTGGCCAAGCTGGGGTGACTAGAACAACTGACTGACTGAGTTTGGTTTTACGCCGCTTTTAGCAATATTCCAGTAACATCACGGCGGGGAACACCAGAAATGGGTTTCACACATTGTACCCATGTGGGGAATCGAACCCGGGTTGACTAGAACGAAGTAAATAAGGCGTGTATAAGCATGACGCCTGGTTAAGGACCATCCTGACATTATCAGCAACAGGTAATAGATAACAAGTTTGTTTGTTGTTTAACGCCACATTATGCAATATTCCAGCTATATGAAGGCTGTCTGTAAATTATCGAGTCTGGACCAGGTAATCCAGTGATCAACAGCATGAGCAATTAGGAACCGATGACATGTGTCAACCAAGTCAGCTAGCCTGACCACCCAATCCCGTTAGCCACCTCTTACGACAAGCATGTGTTGGCAAAGACCAGTTCTAACCCGGATCTTCACGGTTGTCTCTTCATGAAGGCCACCACTGAAGAGCATTTATGGTTCGTGATTTGCAGGATTAGCAACCAAAATCACCCAAACATATTACCTTTTTTGACACCTGTCACCAGTGTATCCTGTTGGGCACGTGCAGCTGCCGCTGTCGCTGCTGCCGGTGGGGTCACATGTTCCTCCGTTCTCACAGGCGTGTTTGTCGGAACAAAATTGCCCGTACGACCCACCACCTTCAACAACACCGGACACTGAAACATGCAACAATGTGTGTTAAATATGCCCTCTGTCAATTAGAATAGACAGTGGACGGAATGGCAAATTTGCTGTTAAGGTGTGAAGATGTTCAGTTCTGTTTTATCAGTAAACAGTAAAAACTGTAAAAACTGCTCGAAGGGAAGGCATGGGCCCTTCTAATCAGTCTCACAGTCCCTGAACCACATTATTTTCCCTACTGCCTAGCTATCTCTGCAGTGCTAAAGCCCTAAATAAAGCAAGTCTAGATTCCCTCAGGTTCTGAATCTCTGGTCTCCCTGGGGCTCCTTTTCAATTTAAATGGGCTTGTTTGTTACCATCAAAATTATATATATTCAGAGATTAAGCATTAGTCTAGGGCCCATGGTATTTCGTAGTTGTTCACTTGAACTTCCAGACACCTTTGTATAGACTGTGGAATACCGGCCTTCAGGAAACTGGGAAAACGGGATGTGCAAACACACATACGACTAGCAGTGTCTGTCTTGTGACGTTTAGAATTGTGATTCAAATACACAACACAATTTTACGATTTGAAGTTCATCACAGTTTCCGATCGTACGTTTTATCTTTTTTTTCACAATATGTAGATTAGGTAACATTGTGGCTGTCGAATAACATATTTTGACAATCTGCAGCATTAGGTGCCTGACTCGAGGGTTCGAATACCGGACGGGACTCAACCCAACGAAAGTACTAGAATCTTGACTTTACTGGGGAAGTGTAATCACAAACGTAACATGTATTACAGAGCAAGTGTAATACCAGATATATCATGTGTTAAACTTTAAAAATGACAATCAAACAGATATTTTGTTAAAGAGTGCATATTAACACGCACCTGCAAGCAGAACAACTGCACCGAATGGAGACAAGCACATTTTCATCTTCTTGTTTACAGGAGTAGATGGAGCTCCGTACAGCTGGGGGGAACGACCTGGATCTGGCGGCTTTCTGTTAGGGTTGTACATTCAAAGGCTTTGTTGCTAGGGGTGAAAACAAAACATTGACGCTTCAGAAGTTTCTGTATTAAAAAATGCTGCATATATTGTTCACGGGTGCTGCTGTCAATACCGCCTTTTAGGAAGACGCGACTTTTGCCAATGGAAAATACAGTGAAGTGCAAAAGGTTCTGTACCAAAATGACAGTTGGTGAAATTTGTCATCACAAAATAATCGTGAAACCAAGCCACACTAATCGTAGAAATGCAAGAAGGAACCGATGCTTTAGTTCCATGAACTTCAGCCAATGGAATCTCCTTCAGGTCCGGGTTCGAATATTGGCCTTCAGTAACCCATGCTTGTCGTAAGAGGCGACTAACGGGATCGGGTGGTCAGGCCCGCTGACTTGGTTGACATATGTCATCGGTTCCCAGTCGCGCAGTGTTGTTGATCACTGGACTGTCTGGTCCAGACTCGATTATTTACAGACCGCCGCCATATAGCTGGAATATTGCAGAGTGCAGCGTAAAACTAAACTCACTCACTTCTTCAGCGGGTTATCAAGACTGGGTATGATCTGGCGGTGACATTTTTTACATTACTTAGTCAGATCAGGAAACGTGCGTTCAGCGTGATCACACTACACAAAGTGTACAGTATACATATGAAACAGGACACACAATTAAAAGATGCATAGGGTACAGGAGACATATGGTACATGTGATATAGGATACAGGAGACATATGGTACAGGGGACATAGGATACAGGAGACATAGGTACATGTGATATATGATACAGGAGACAAAGGATACAGGAGACAAAGGGTACAGGAAACATAGGGTACAGGAGACATAGGATACAGGAGACATATGGTACAGGAGATATAGGGTACAGGAGACATAGGGTACAGGAGATATATGGTACAGGAGACATAGGGTACAGGAGACATAGGGTACAGGAGACATAAGGTACAGGAAACATAGGGTACAGGAGACATAGGGTACAGGAAATATAGGGTACAGGAGACATAGGGTACAGGAAATATAGGGTACAGGAGACATAGGATACAGGAGACATATGGTACAGGAGACATAGGGTACAGGAGACATAAGGTACAGGAAACATAGGGTACAGGAGACATAGGATACAGGAGACATATGGTACAGGAGACATAGGATACAGGAGATATAGGGTAGAGGAGACATATGTACATGTGATATATGGTACAGGAGACATAGGGTCCAGGAGACATATGGTACAGGTGAAATAGGGTACAGGAGACATAGGTACATGTGATATATGGTACAGGAGATAAAGGACACAGGAGACATAGGTACATGTGATATATGGTACAGGAGACATAGGGTACAGGAGACATAGGGTACAGGAGACATAGGGTACAGGAGATATAGGGTACAGGAGACATAGGTACATGTGATATATGGTACAGGAGATAAAGGACAAAGGAGACATAGGTACATGTGATATATGGTACAGGATATATAGGATACAGGAGACATAGGGTACAGGAGACAGGGTACAGGAGACATAGGATACAGGAGACATAGGGTACAGGAGATATAGGGTACATGAGACATAGGGTACAGGAGACATAAGGTACAGGAGACATAGGGTACAGGAGACATAGGATACAGGAGACATAGGGTACAGGAGACATAGGGTCCAGCAGATACAGGGTACAGGAGACATAGGGTACAGGAGATATAGGTACATGTGATATATGATACAGGAGATATAGGACACAGGAGACATAGGTACATGTGATATATGATACAGGAGACATAGGTTACAGGAGACATAGGGTACAGGAGACATAGGATACAGGAGACATAGGGTACATGAGACATAGGGTACAGTAGACATAGGATACAGGAGACATATGGTACAATAGACAAAGTGAGTGAGTGAGTGAGCTTAGTTTTACGCAGCACTCAGCAATATTCCAGCGATATAGCGGCTGTCTGTAAATAATCGAGTCTGGACCAGACAATCCAGTGAGCAACAGGATGAGCATCGATCTGACAGGAGACAAAGGTTACATGACACATAGGGTACATGAGAAACGGGGTACAAGAGACATTGGGTACTGGACACATAGCGTACTGGAGATATATGGTGCAGGGGCATAGGGTACATAACGTATAGGGTACAGAGAGTGTAGGGTACATGATGCATATGGAACAGGATGCAGAGGGTACGGAAACTGCTGACATTTGCATGAAGAGTCCATGGTGGACAGTGGACACTTAGGACAGTGGACAGTGGGCAGTGGACACTTAGGACACAAACACCACTTCAAGTCTGGTAATGTGTGAAGCCAACGTGCTATTTTCACTGTGACCAATTATAACCTCAAACAGACGACACCTCGTGTCCTTGTATATGCCGTAGGTTGTGTATATGCCTCGCCAAAGCTAACATCGCATCGTTGCCGATGTATTTTACTTAACCTGACGTTTTGGTGTAGTTTATTTTGCTAGTTAGTGTACATGTTGATTGAATATACTCTAAAGAAGTTACGTTGTTGTTGAACGCTCGACTGAACAGCCTTTCACTAATTTTACATGTGTAAAGGCGGCCAGGGTCGTACAAAACAGCCTTTCCCGTTATAAGCAATGATGCGTGCAGTCTTTTGTCCCTCATATTTATCAATATCATGTTGGAAGTCCACACGTTGATTGTAGTCGCGTTATTTGTTGTGGCGTTGGTTTGTTGGAAAGTGGGAGCAAATGGGTGTGTGTTCATGTTACATCCCTGTCAGGACCACTGCTGAAGTTCATGTTACATCCCTGTCACGACCACTGCTGAAGTTCATGTTACATCCCTGTCAGGACCACTGCTGAAGTTCATGTTACATCCCTGTCAGGACCACTGCTGAAGTTCATGTTACAACCCTGTCAGGACCACTGGTGAAGTTCATGTTACATCCCTGTCAGGACCACTGCTGAAGTTCATGTTACAACCCTGTCAGGACCACTGCTGAAGTTCATGTTATATCCCTGTCAGGACCACTGCTGAAGTTCATGTTACATCCCTGTCAGGACCACTGCTGAAGTTCATGTTACATCCCTGTCAGGACCGCTCATCTAACACCCTGTCAGGACCACTGCTGAAGTTCATGTTACATCCCTGTCAGGACCACTGCTGAAGTTCATGTTACATCCCTGTCAGGTCCACTGCTGAAGTTCATGTTACAACCCTGTCAGGACCACTGCTGAAGTTCATGTTACATCCCTGTCAGGACCACTGCTGAAGTTCATGTTACATCCCTGTCAGGACCACTGCTGAAGTTCATGTTACATCCCTGTCAGGACCACTGCTGAAGTTCATGTTACATCCCTGTCAGGACCACTGCTGAAGTTCATGTTACATCCCTGTCAGGACCACCGCTGAAGTTCATGTTACATCCCTGTCAGGACCGCTCATCTTACACCCCTGTCACGACCACTGCTGAAGTTCATGTTACATCCCTGTCAGGACCACTGCTGAAGTTCATGTTACATCCCTGTCAGGTACACTGCTGAAGTTCATGTTACATCCCTGCCAGGACCACTGCTGAAGTTCATGTTACAACCCTGTCAGGACCACTGCTGAAGTTCATGTTACATCCCTATCAGGACCACTGCTGAAGTTCATGTTACATCCCTGTCAGGACCACTGCTGAAGTTCATGTTACATCCCTGTCAGGTCCACTGCTGAAGTTCATGTTACATCCCTGTCACGACCACTGCTGAAGTTCATGGTACATCCCTGTCAGGACCACTGCTGAAGTTCATGTTACATCCCTGTCAGGACCACTGCTGAAGTTCATGTTACATCCCTGTCAGGACCACTGCTGAAGTTCATGTTACATCCCTGTCAGGACCACTGCTGAAGTTCATCCCTGTACTGCTGAAGTTCATGTTAACACCCCTGTCAGGACCACTGCTGAAGTTCATGTTACATCCCTGTCAGGACCACTGCTGAAGTTCATGTTACAACCCTGTCAGGACCACTGCTGAAGTTCATGTTACATCCCTGTCACGACCACTGCTGAAGTTCATGTTACATCCCTGTCAGGACCACTGCTGAAGTTCATGTTACAACCCTGTCACGACCACTGCTGAAGTTCATGTTACATCCCTGTCAGGACCTGCTGAAGTTCATGAAGTTCATGAAGTTTACATCCCTGTCAGGACCACTGCTGAAGTTCATGTTACATCCCTGTCAGGACCACTGCTGAAGTTCATGTTACATCCCTGTCAGGACCACTGCTGAAGTTCATGTTACATCCCTGTCACGACTGCCTGCTGACCACTGCTGAAGTTCATGTTACATCCCCTGTCACGATCACCTGAAGTTCATGTTACATCCCTGTCAGGACCACTGCTGAAGTTCATGTTACATCCCTGTCAGGACCACTGCTGAAGTTCATGTTACAACCCTGTCAGGACCACTGCTGAAGTTCATGTTACATCCCTATCAGGACCACTGCTGAAGTTCATGTTACAACTGTCGGGACCACTGCTGAAGTGTCAGGACCACTGCTGAAGTTCATGTTACATCCCCTGTCAGGACCACTGTTCTGAAGTTCATGTTACACACCCTGTCAGGACCACTGCTGAAGTTCATGTTACATCCCTGTCAGGACTGAAGTTCAAGCTCATCTAACATCCCTGTCAGGACCACTGCTGAAGTTCATGTTACATCCCTGTCAGGACCACTGCTGAAGTTCATGTTACATCCCTGTCAGGTCCACTGCTGAAGTTCATGTTACAACCCTGTCAGGACCACTGCTGAAGTTCATGTTACATCCCTGTCAGGACCACTGCTGAAGTTCATGTTACATCCCTGTCAGGACCACTGCTGAAGTTCATGTTACATCCCTGTCAGGACCACTGCTGAAGTTCATGTTACATCCCTGTCACGACCACTGCTGAAGTTCATGTTACATCCCTGTCAGGACCACTGCTGAAGTTCATGTTACATCCCTGTCAGGACCGCTCATCTTACACCCCTGTCAGGACCACTGCTGAAGTTCATGTTACATCCTGTCAGGACCACTGCTGAAGTTCATGTTACATCCCATCCACTGTCAGGACCACTGTCAGGTACATTCAGGACCCTGAAGTTCATGTTACATCCCTGCCAGGACCACTGCTGAAGTTCATGCTACATCCCTGTCAGGACCACTGCTGAAGTTCATGTTACATCCCTGTCAGGACCACTGCTGAAGTTCATGTTATATCCGTGTCAGGACCACTGCTGAAGTTCATGTTACATCCCTGTCAGGACCACTGCTGAAGTTCATGTTACATCCCTGTCAGGACCACTGTTGAAGTTCATGTTACAACCCTGTCAGGACCACTGCTGAAGTTCATGTTACATCCCTATCAGGACCACTGCTGAAGTTCATGTTACATCCCTGTCAGGACCACTGCTGAAGTTCATGTAACATCCCTGTCAGGACCACTGGTGAAGTTCATGTTACATCCCTATCAGGACCACTGCTGAAGTTCATGTTACATCCCTGTCAGGACCACTGCTGAAGTTCATGTAACACCCCTGTCAGGACCACTGCTGAAGTTCATGGTACATCCCTGTCAGGACCACTGTGAAGTTCGTACTAGACGTACCTCTCTACAGTGATGTTAAGCTCTGAGTCAAACAATGAATAATTTAAACAGTTTTTATTCAGACTGAAATGAAATGAGACCCCCTCACCATAGGATTTACAAATGTTTGAACATTAAACTGTCAGCAAAGAAAACAGACAACCAAGCCACACTAATCGTAGAAATGCAAGAAGGAACCGATGCTTTAGTTCCATGAACTTCAGCCAATGGAATCTCCTTCAGGTCCGGGTTCGAATATTGGCCTTCAGTAACCCATGCTTGTCGTAAGAGGCGACTAACGGGATCGGGTGGTCAGGCTCGCTGACTTGCTTGACACATGTCATCGGTTCCCAGTTGTGTAGATCGATGCTCATGCTGTTGATCACTGGATTGTCTGGTACAGACTCGATTATTTACAGACCGCCGCCATATAGATGGGATATTGCTGAGTGCGGCGTAAAACTAAACTCCCTCCCTATTTCAGATTAGCGGATGAATACTACGTGGATACTACAAAGAACCTCCAAGTATTTGCATGAATGTTTACGATCTCAGAAACGGACAGAGTAAGTATTGGTAACGGCCCATTTATCCCTTTCTGTAGTTAGTGAGAGAAGAAGCAGATCAAGTTGTGCTTTCATTGAGCCGCTAAAAGACACCTGCCAGATCTTAACTCTGTGAATGCATGTCTTTACTTTGTGAATGCATATCACTTAATTGTGAATGCATATCACTAAATTGTGAATGCATGTCTTTAAGCTGTGAATGCCTGTATTTAAAATGTGAATGCATCTATTTAACCTGTGAATGCATATCTCTACGTTGTGAAGGCATGTCTTTACACTGTGCATGCTTGTTAAACATAGAGACAATGCATGTGTTTTGAAACATACACCATGCAGATGTTCCGTGCTCGTGACGTTTGACACGTGACAAACATACCAAGTCATGAGGGTTTTACTGATGAACAAACGACACACCAGACTAGTGACATCTAATACCATCAAAACATCTAAATTACTGTAATACAGACAGAAATTTGAACAGCCAGGTTAGTGGTGATGCATTGGTCTGGAGAGACATTTATTCAGAGCTTTAAGGTCACAGGCCCAAACAGATGATCCAGCTGTAATTTGAACGAAGAAATACAAAAACGACAACACACCAAAAATATATAATATGAAATATAATATATAATATTTTAAATATTGTAAATATTAACATTAGCAAATAAAGGGTTATTATGATAATAGTGTTCTGTATACTGTATCCTTCATGGAGAAACTTGCGTACAGATCGTTAGTAGACGATACTCCTTTTCCAAACATGCCTAACTTCAAAGAAAAGCAACATAATTGAATTTCTTTCACCTGTGTCTTACAGTTTCCATCTTGGGATTAAGGCAGTCAGCAGAAATGGTTTAACTGGTGATGAATTATACTTTCACCAAAGTTCATGTGACCCTTCAAGGAACAAGATGCAATCAAACGAAAATATAAAAAACATTTGTAAGCTGATATGTAGGCTGATGTGCAGACTCATTGGTTGGCCTATATGTAGGCTGATATGTAGGGTGATTGGTAGGCTGATATGTAGGCTGATTTTGGCTGATTGTAGGCTGACTGTAGGTCTCTACGCCTTCATGGTAAGCTGCACAACGACACACATCAGTACCGTCGCAGGAAAAGTGATCACGTGATCTGCTCCGGACAAAACACTCTCTGTAAAGGAATTATCAGATTATGAAAGTGTACAAATCCATTTGCTTGTACCAAAAATGTTACTGAATAAGCAATTCTATAATTATTTCGCAGCTGTTGAATTATGTAGGCATAAGAGAAAAAAGCACCTCACCACACTTTCCCCCAGTGTAACCCGCCGTACATTTGCAGCCCCGGGCTTCGCACGTGCCTTTGTTCTTACAGTCGGCGTTGGTGTTGCAGGCTGAAACAGATGATAGTGACGTCACACATGATGCTGATACATCTGAAGGTGTCTTTCCTACTTATGAAACAACAAAGGGGTTTATGGCGGGAGAGTCATGCTCGGCAGGAGACATACCGAAGTGTGACCCGATCTTCTCACAACACAACAGGCTACAGTTGGACAAAGCATTCTTAGAGCTAAGGTGATCGTAATCCCATAATTTAACATAGACTTACGACAGTTGGAGTGCTAAGGTGATCGTAACTCACATACCTTAACATAGACTTAAGACAGTCGGAGTGCAAAGGTGATCGTAACTCACATACCTTAACGTAAACTTACGACAGTCGGAGTGCTAAGGTGATCGTAACTCACATACCTTAACGTGGACTTACGTCAGTCGGAGTGCTAAGGTGATCGTAACTCACATACTTTAACGTAGACTTACGACAGTTGGAGTGCTAAGGTGATCGTAACTCACATACCTTAAAGTAAAAATACGACAGTTGGAGTGCTAAGGTGATCGTAACTCACATACCTTAACGTAGACTTACGACAGTTGTAGTGCTAAGGTGATCGTAACTCACATACCTTAACATAGACTTACGACAGTCTTATGGCTAAGGTTACTCTGTACAACGCCATATTAACTACCAGGCAAAAGAAAGTTATCTCTTTTAAAGTAATTGTATTAAAAATACAAAAACTTCTTTGGTACAGGTTTGAACCCAAGCAGAACACTTTTGCCTAAACACAACATGGTTCCGATAGCAACTCAGCTCTCCGAAAGCGTCATACGAATCGTACATTTTAAAAAGTGAAAAACGTATTAGTGGAACATTGGTCCAAAAGCACGTGCTTGCTTGTGGCATAAATGCCAATGTTGGGCGGAGCAAGCATGCAGTAACCACAAAACCACCACGAATAGGCCAACACTTACGCAAGCGGAGGGCAATCGACGGGGCGTCACAAAAACCTTGAACTGCAGTCAGGCCACCATTCACAAATTGGTTAACCACTACCAGAAAACAGGCCATATTGGAAGATGAAGAGCCTCGACACCGGCCAGAGTCCGTACATCCGGCACATCCACCTCCGGCACAGATTCGTGACCAGATGGTGGCCACATGAATACGTGCAAACACCTAGTTGCGGGTACAGCAACGTGCAGTAAACTTGGACAAAGTACTGTGACTATGTGTGTCCCAGTCCACCCAGCTGTGAATGGGTACCTCGTTAGGATGAGAAAGTCACAATAACTCGGTGCGCCTAGTGGCTGCAAGAGTTTTATACTCCCCAGGGAGTTGAGATTGATAATACGATATGCCGTTGAGATTAACATCCAGTGATCGAGGGAAAATATACCAGCGCGTTGAGCAAGCACTAGTTGCCTGGATATGTATAAATATATATAAATATCATATAATAAATAAAATAACCTGTTTACCTGCCTGACATCTCTTTACATATCGGTTGTATCTGTTTACCTGTTTGCTTGACATCTCTTTACATATAGGTGGTACATGTTTACCTGCTTGAAATCTCTTTGCATATAGGTTGTATCTGTTTACCTGCCTGACATCTCTTTACACATAGATTGTATCGTTTTACCTGTCTGACATCTCTTTACATATAGGTTGTATCTGTTTACCCGCTGGACATCTCTTTACACATAGATTGTATCGTTTTACCTGTCTGACATCTCTTTACAGATACATTGTATCTGTTTACCTGCTTGACATCTCTTTACATATAGGTTGTATCTGCTTACCTGCTTGACATCTCTTTACATATAGGTTGTATATGTTTACCTGTTTGACATCTCTTTACATATCGGTTGTATCTGCTTACCTGCCTGACATCTCTTTACATATAGTTTGTATATGTTTACCCGCGTGACATCTCTTTACATATAGGTAGAATCTGTTAACGTGCCTGACATCTCTTTACATATAGGTTGTATCTGCTTACCTGCTTGACATCTCTTTACATATAGTTTGTATATGTTTACCCGCGTGACATCTCTTTACATATAGGTAGAATCTGTTTACGTGCCTGACATCTCTTTACATATAGGTTGTATCTGTTTACCTGCTTGACATCTCTTTACATATAGGTTGTATATGTTTACGTGCGTGACATCTCTTTCTACATATAGGTAGAATCTGTTAGGTTGTACTGCCTGACATCTCTTTACATATAGGTTGTATCTGCTTACCTGCCTGACATCTCTTTACATATAGTTTGTATATGTTTACCCGCGTGACATCTCTTTACATATAGGTAGAATCTGTTAACGTGCCTGACATCTCTTTACATATAGGTTGTATCTGTCTACGTGCTTGACATCTCTTTACATATAGGTAGAATCTGTTAACGTGCCTGACATCTCTTTACATATAGGTTGTATCTGTCTACGTGCTTGACATCTCTTTACATATAGGTTGTATATGGTTACCTGCTTGACATCTCTTCCCTTCATATCCAGCTGGACAAGAGCACGCTCCCCCAGTCACTGTGGTGTTGCAGGTGCCCCCGTTGGCGCAAGGATGCGCAGTGGAACATACATCCCCGGAAACCACCGCAGGCGGTGTGACGGACTCTGCTAAAACACGAACTGCCGTCTTAACATCCTCGTCTATCCTTTTCGTAATGTTATGTGGGGCGGTGGGATAGCATAGTGGTTAAAGCGTTCACTTGTCACACCAAAAACCCAGGTCGATTCCCCACATGGGTACAATGTGTGAAGCCCATTCCTTGTGTTCCCCGCCGTGATATTGCTGGAATATTGCTAAGTTGCGTAAAACTTAACTCACTCACTCACTCACGCACTTCATATGTATCCTGTTCTTAATATCTCGCTCTGGTAAACGTCAAGAATATATATGTGCAGTCACTGTGTACCAGATCAGAGTGAGAATTAGATGTGGACGAAATATTATACTGAACAAGGTTTCATTTCAAAAGCAAGTAATACTATTTCGCTTGATGATCATGAATATAGATGAATGCTACACCATCGCCTTTACACCAGGATAGGGGTCCTTTGACTACTGCGTTCATCCATGACCTATCACTAGATGATAGATAAACGCAACGTCAGAAGGTTGACTCAATCTGAATGCCTCATTGTTAGTAGACCGAAGGGTGGGGTATGTTGGTCTATATGAATCCTAAATTACAAAGTAATCACAGAGCTAATACAACGAGAACAAAACCGACAACATTTATCATTTGTGCCTTGGATCGTGCAGGTGCGAAATCCTTCCTTCGTTTATTTTTTGCTGTTGTCACAATTAATTAGGTGTGAAGCATACCCTTAAAAAAGTAATTAAAAAACGAACCGCTGAAGATGTATTAAATGTATTGAGATGTACATAAGTCGATTGAGCTTGAACATAGATGAAGGAAAATCGACACAGAGGTTAACATATATATTGTTGTCATTGGCAGCATGAATCCAATTCACACACTGCACACATGCGGTCAGTACCTGGTGACACCATCCCTTTCACTGCTCGACACTGCCTTGGTGGCTTCATGATTCCTCCTGTAACGTATTGTCAAGCCCTGCAAGTGTCTGAGGACGATGGTGACGTTGACTGCTTTAAATGCTGGTCTTTCCTTGAGAGCTCTCACCTTGTCGTCAGACACCTTAAGTTTCACAATAACAGGGCGTGGTTGATCATCGTTTTGACGTAGCTTTCCAAGTCGCTGAGTACGGTGAATGTCACACCTCTGCCATTTTTGAAAGGTTAAATTTTCATGAAAGACTGAAAGGACCTATTCTTTACAAGCCATGGATTTCTCGTTTTCTGATTCTGACACACCATACAGAATAACATTATCACGTCAGCTATATGACTCTAACTTATCCAGTTCATCATCTACACGAGAAAATCTCAAGGACACACCGTCCGCTTTCTCAGTTAGGGCATTAATATCGTTGCACATAACATCATGGTTCTGTTTAACCTCGTTAATGGCTGACTTTAACTCACTAACCCTTTTATCCAAATCAATACATTTCGAGTTGATCGCTTTAACTTCGGATTTCATGTCGGATAGTCCTGATTTGACGTTACGTAGCTCGCTCATAAAAGTATCTCTCAACTCTTCCAGTGTAAGCGGGTCGGGTTCAGATTCGACGTCGTTGGAACACACCAATAACTGTGGTTTGACCTCTTAACAAGCAAGCCTGGTGTGCACGTGGAGCATGAGGCGATGTCATAGACAAAACTAGGTCACATTCAAAACTCATGACGTCACACACTGCACAGAGGAATGTCGTTTCTTTCGGCAAATATGCATGAACATTTAATTTTTCACACCAATTTATAGCACAGAAAGATGCTGATAAATGGATCCCCAACAGTATGAAGCAGGTAAACAGTCTAAATTCCGAGCCGGCCATGTGTGGCGAGTACTCACTAGTATTAATGTCTAAGTCGCCACAAGGTCATTTTGCCGGATCCAGCCGGATCCAGCCGGAGCAGATGTTGACTGGCTCATCCAAGTCACGTGGTCACCGTTAGGTACGAGATAGATAGGACATCACAGGTCAGGAAAGGTCAATGAAAGGTGTGTGTTTTAATGTAGGTGTGCAATCTTGTAGAATACCCTTCATGAGACGAGAAAACAAAAGGAAAGTGTCATCAATAAAGGAATGTATAGCATACTGTCATGAATAGATAGACAGTCTAGTTCAAAAGGGTGCGCGCAAGGACGAGATAGTCATCTCACCCTGCATTGACTATAACGCTGAATGCAGCCGGAAACTATTGTTAACCATTTGTAAAGAAGGCGGTCTTCACCGTTGGCTTCCACGGGCGGCAGGCCAGAACATGCGTCACACAGGTAACACATCTTGAACTGAACTGTCAGCAGTCTCAAAGGACATTGGCGCATACGCAACAGATCACAAAACCTAAGGAGAGAGGGTTGGAGGCAGGGAGGGGGTGTCAGCAGGGTGATATTCATGTATAACCGTGGATACTTGAAAAAGGCGCCTTCAGAGGAATGGTTTATTCGCAAGCTGATATTGTCTTGCTTATTTCTAAGGAGACTTGGGGGGCGGCAGGCTGGGTTGAGAGGATGAGGAGACTATTGTAAACATGAAACACGTTTCTCGCCACTAACATATATAACAGATTGCTTCTGTCTCTCTCCTAATGACGATGACTTTCATGGTGTTAAATTTACACATGAACTAATCAGTTGTATTAGTGAACCATGTGTATTTCGAACCATTAAATATCACGCTCTGAACTAAAACCTTATACATACTTTAGTTGAGACGGTTAAAGTCAAACTTTTCATCACGTTACGTTTAAAGGGAAAAGCTAGCGTGGACTACAATTTAAACATCGGGTTCAACTATTCATGTCGGGGCAGGACTGAATAATTCAGCGCCTTCTTTACAAATGGTTAACAATAGTTTCCGGCTGCATTCAGCGTTAAAGTCAATGCAGGGTGAGATGACTATCTCATCCTTGCGCGCACCCTTTTGAACTAGACCGTCTATCTATTCATGACAGTATGCTATACGTTAATTTATTGATAACACTTTCCTTTTGTTTTCTCGTCTCATGAAGGGTATTCTTCAAGATTGCATGCCTGCATTAAAACACACACCTTTCATTGACCTTCCCTGACCTGCGATATCCTATCTATCTCGTACCTGACGGTGACCACGTGACTTGGATGAGCCAATCAACATCTGCTCCGGCTGGATCCGGCTGGATCCGGTAAAATGACCTTGTGGCGACTTAGACATAACTACTCTCACTGTATCTGTGAAGTGTGATTTGTCGGGTACCCCTCGGGTGGGCGAAAGATCCAATTCTGGCTCTATACACCTCGATTGCAATCATATTCACGGGTAGAATATGTGATCATACACTTACGGACACACTACACCAGGAAGGTGTATATAAAGGTTTGGTTTTACAGAACAATTCAAGAAAATATCTCTCTGCTCAACACCACATCTCCCGCCACCAAGGACTCAAGATTAGTCCTCTCAAACTTAATGATTAATGAAGGAAGACGTATGTCCATCGACAGATATAACATAATTTGCCCATTGTGTAAATTATCTGTTGACAATGACATTCATTTCTTATTTGTCTGTCCATCTTACATAGATTTACGTAAACAATATATTCCTGAATGTTACCTCTCCAAGTCACCTGCTGTAGCATTTAAACAATTCCCGTCTACTAATGACAACTGTATCAACTTAAAACTATCACAATACATTTACAATGCAATGTCTAAGCGTGATATTCTGTTAAAATCATCGCTGTGTTCAAGCTGTATGTGAAAGTATAATGCATTCACCTCCTGTAATGTGTATGGGCCGGAGGCCTGAAATACAATAAACATCTTTGACTTTGACTTTGAATTCATCACTGAACCAAACGCGTTGCCATTTCCCCAGGTTCCATGCCTGTACCCTTCTGCACCATTGGACACGTCATTGTCGGTGTAGTCGTGTCAGGACAGGTTCAACTTTTTCTCGATATGCTCGAATCCCCTCTTCTCTCAGACGATTTCTGATGGTTTGGTCGGAAATTCGTCGAAGACCAGACACCTGTCCTGCAGTGTCCGTTGCCGTAGCAAATCGGTGACCACCCGGACGAATCGGTCCTGAGCAGGAGTGGTCATCAACTGCTGGGACGATCTTGGGTCGAATTGAAGCGGGTATGCCGAAGTCATAATCGAGATATGGGGTTGTGGTGGACGTTGAAGTGTCTTGCATAGGCAGACTGAGACTCTCCTGCTTCCAAACTTCCAATGGCGATATTACGATCAGTAGCATTCACTCTTGGCATTTTATATGTTCGTTTACTTTGTAAATTTCGTAATGAAATGATGAATTTGGCTTGGCATTTTTTAGTCGATGTCTCTTCAGATACATTGCACGTGTTTCCGACACATTGCACGTGCATTACATAACAATCACACCATGATTAACGAGATTCAAACGTAGGAACTGTCTAAATGACGACTGCTGTCAAAATATATCTAAACTAACTGCTGAAAACGACAGTGCGTTTCTTTTTTTTAAGAGTATACCTAGGACACCAGTCACGGTTAGCGTCTCTGTTTTCGACAAATATTCAAATGTTTGGGACAAGTGATCTGCAACACTGCCTCAACATATATATAAAGAATTAGTTTCAGACTGTGAAAAACGGTCAGAGGGAGTTTACAGTTGACGTAGTTCCCTATATAATGATGGAAAACGCCCCTGTATCGTTCAGAAAAGGAACACTCTGAATGGGGGAAAGACATTTGCTGGAGTTACGGCGTGTCTTATGATTGCGTTATCGTGTGCTTGAAGAACATTAAAAACAGTAAAAAACTTTCCTTTCTCACGCTCTGTATAACAAATGGGTTAATCAACTTACCACACTTTCCTCCTGTGTACCCTGGTGCGCAAATACAGGCCTCTCTTCGACATGTGGCCCCATTCATGCAGTCTGCACCCGTGGAGCACTCTGTTTATTATCCAAAAAGAGATTAAATGTAAACCTAAAGACGTCGGAATTTAAAGACTTTCACTTGAAAAACAAGAAAGGATTAAACTACAGACGTTATAATTTAAAGACATTCACTTGAAAAACAAGAAAGGATTTATTGTAAAACTACAGACGTCATAATTGTAAAGACATTCACTTGAAAAACAAGAAAGGATTTATTGTAAAACTAAAGACGTCATAATTTAAAGACATTCACTTGAAAACAAGAAAGGATTTATTGTAAAACTACAGACGTCATAATTTAAAGACATTCACTTGAAAAACAAGAAAGGATTTATTGTAAAACTACAGACGTCATAATTTAAAGACATTCACTTGAAAAACAAGAAAGGATTTATTGTAAAACTACAGACGTCATAATTTAAAGACATTCACTTGAAAAACAAGAAAGGATTTAATGTAAAACAATAGACGTCGGAGTTTAAAGACAATCAGTTGTAAAACAGGGAGCGGTCAGAATTTAAAGACATTCCGTTGAAAAACACTCTGACGGATTTGGTGTAAAACTATTGACGTCGGAGTTGAAAGACATTCGGTTGAAAAACATGAAGGGATTTGATGTAAAACTATAGTCGTTGGAGTTGAAAGACATTCAGTTGAAACGTCAGAGTGTAAAGGCTCAAAGTTACCCATTTTTGACAATATTGTGGCCTATATTATACATATTGGTGCATATGCACTTACTTTAGCTTCCTATTGGTACAATAATAGACTTATTATCCCTTACGACTTTCCTGCAATAGAGAATAGAAACTTCGAAGCGAACAGCTTCCAAACAGAGAAAACTTGCCATATGTGGAATTTAATATTGCAATCTAAAGACGTAATTTTTTGGGAATACATTATATGGTAGCTTCCCTGTGTGCTGATAGTTAGTTTTATTGAGAGAAATGCATTATATATTTTTAGAGAAGTGTCGTGTGAAATAGTGCCTTTAAAGACATTTAGTTGAAAAACAAGAAGGGATTTGATGAGAAACCATAGACATCGGAGATTAAAGACATTGTCTTTGTTTGCGAACACCATTACCGAACAAGAAATTGGGACATAAAGGACAGTAACAATAATCTCCCCCCAACGAATGACTCGACATGAAGTCTACAATAAACTAATTGCAGATATTTTCACAGTTGTTGAATGCCTACTGACTGCATATGAAAATATGGATGACTGCTTCTGGTTTATTGCATAGACGTTCGATGTAGATCCTGCACCAAGGCCAAGCTCGGGTGAGTAGAACGAAGTAAATAAGGCGTGTATAGGCATGACGTGCCTTGATAAGATCATCCTGACATTATCAATAGCAGCTTACAGATAATAAGTCTGCTTGTTTGTTAAACGCCACACCCATATTCCGGCCATATGACGTCGGTCTGTAAATAATCGAGTCTGTACAAGACAATCCAGTGATCAACATCATGTGTATTGATGTACACAATTGGAATACGATGACATGTGTCAACCAAGCCAGCGAGTCTGACCACCCGATCCCGTTAGTCGCCTCTTACGACAAGCATGGGTTAGTGAAGGCCCATTCTAACCTGTATATACTACGGTAGAAATAAGGTTAAAGAGGATACTGACAAACTGACTGGATACTAATTTCAAAAAGCTCATTGCTTCAGTGGACCTTTATTCTCTGCTCACTACGTCAAAGAGTCGTCGGGTGGTCTGTGCTTGGAACTATATTCTTACTAAAAGAAGGGGCTGTTCAATATAAAATCTGTCACAACAATTGATATTTTATATCTTTAATGAGAATAATTAATTTAACAGTGTAACAGGAACATCTGACTTGCATTAGCCGTTGAACGTCAGATGACCATAGCTTTTGTTAGATGCTTGACCAAAGCGCCCTTCTGTCCATCACGTCATTAACCATGAAAGGTTGAGCTAATTCACATTATCTGAAGGCATACCATTATCCATACAATAGCACAATCTTATTCCCTTCTCATCTGTATACTCTGTGCAGCTTAATCTCACACTGTATACTCCACCCTGTAATCTCTCCTTTGGGTCAGTTCATTATGCCAGACAGGTAAATGCCACGTGTTGTTTTAACTAATTGTAGGTGTACTGGGCTGTAGGGGAACTGGGCTGTAGGGGTTTTGGGAGACAACCCGTAAATCCGATTCTATTCAATCACGGATTCGACGAAGCGTACTCTTTCTCAAACACCAATATGCCATCTTGGTTCATTCCACCTCATATTAGCATCGTACTGCCATTACAACTGCTGTTATGATATATTGCCACCATTCTAGTATATTTATAATGCCACTGTAATTGTTCAACCTTTGCATCTGTACTACTACTCTATTGTAAAGCGCCATTGTTATTCCTTTATACTAGGTATTGATTTCTAAGCCTAGTAATTTTAGAATACAATTCTCAATTGCATGCTGTTATATCCGGAGAATTCTTCTCGACATTATGAGCGACTTTGGACTTGTCATACAGCGGTGAACTGAACTTTATTTACACTCCGGCCGCGTTCTGCGGCATTAGAGGTACAAGTAAACAGCATGATGTACAACTTAAATACAAGTATGAAACATATCGCTCGGTTGCAAGAATATACTGTCTGTACATACATTTAACCAGTTAAATGAACAATGTTACACCCATGCCTTAATGGTTATCTTTTGTGGGGGCGTTGCTTAAAATGAGAAATTATTATTTTGCAAAATATTGCTAATTTCCCAATTGTTCCTAGTTTGTTAGAGTGAAAAAGCTGGTTCATTTTGTGTATATTCGGATTTCTACAGAAATAGCTGTTAATATATTTTTTGCTTTCTTGGGCCAAAGTAGGGCAAATAAACAAAAAGTTTATCATCTCCAATACCGATTGCATTACAGAGAGTACATATCCTTTCATTTGTGCGAGTTTTGCTCCATCGTCCTGTTTCAATTGGTACATAATGGTTTGAAGTTCTGAAATTAAGTAACGCCCTCCGGTTATTATAATGTAATAAACTCAGATAGGTTCCATATTTCAATTCAGAATTTTAAAAATTATTATAAATAGCGCCTCTTGAAGATTTTTCTGTGTTTGATATCCAGGTCTGTAGATGATTTGTTTCAGTCTGTTTACAACAAGTGCTTTAAGACTATTTTTATTAGGACATGCCTGTGTAGCCCAAATATCACTCATTCAAATTTTGTCAAAAGGGTTCTTTAATACAGGCAAGCCATTTATAGCCAGATGTGTTACAAGTTGTATCATTATAGAGTATTTTATCAACTAGGAGAGAGAATTTAGAAGCCTTTCCTGAAATGAGTTTTCCCCAAAAGACTAGCATTCGTGATTTAATTTCAATTTCCAGCGGATATCTCCCCAGTTCCCCATAAACCATGAAAGAGGGGGTGCTGTTTCTTAATGAGAGGAGTTCCTTTAGAAATTTTAGTAGAATATTTTCTACCCAAGAATTATTACTAACACCCCACAAAACCCTATAAAGAACAGGGGCAACTAAACCTTCGAATAGTCGTAACTGACAATCCCATGACAAATTAAGTAATCTACCCTTGCTTAAAATAGAATTCATAGTTTTGGTGGCCTTCTCGGCGAGATTCTTTTTTATTAAGGTGAATGTATTATTTTTTTGCATTGTCATTCCTAGGTATTTATAAGAAGGCACATTCTCTATAATGTGATTTCCAATTTTGAAAAAGTATTTATAATCTTTTTGGAACCACCAAATATAAGTATTGTTATTAAAATTTATATTAAGTCTCCATGTTTTACAGTATTTATCAAAGCAATCTTACATATGCTGTAAATCATTTGGGTCTGATGCTAGTAGAACGGTGTCGTCGGCATACAACAAAACAAATAGATTTATCATAGTTTCTAATCGGTTGTTAAAATCATCAGGATGTAATTCCACTCCTTTCCAGTTGTCATTTTGTAGATTATATTCGAGATCATTCAGAAATATTAAAAATAGTATCGGTGATAAATTTTCACCTTCACGAACGCCAGACATACATGGGAAGAAACTGGTCTTCTCTCCATTACATGATGCACAAGATTTGATATTTTGATACATGTTATGAATAACTTTAAAGAAAGCCGAGGATCACCCCATCGTGTTTGCTTAAGCTTTTTCGTCTTAAAAACTGTATCAGATCGACGGATCCCTGTAAGATCACGTTTCAATTTTATAGCGATATAATTTTACAAAATGTATTTTATTGTACAAAATAAAAATTATACAATTCACATCAAGCATTCTTTTCCTTCTTAATTTAATAGAAAACCATTCGGTTAAAAAGAATGTGCTCTTAACAACGTATGTTATTTTTAGTCCAAAGTCACATTAAACTTTTCCATTATTCCCAATTCAACTAGACGTTAACAAAGCATTGTGATCATCGTTCACTGGTTTCTGTTTAGTACGAAGCTGTCTTTTCAGCCTCTCGAGGGCATAGTCATTTGGATGGTACCAAACTATCTTATCGGAGCTGGACTAATGTGATTTCAGCATTGTCGTGCTCAGCTTTCAATATCCCAATAAATGGGTAAAGATTTAGATGCTTACGTTCAAGTCTTTTCGTGAATGCTGCCCCTGAAGAACATTTATGGTTTGTGATTTGCAGGCTTAGCAACCAAAACATATTACCTTTTTGACACCTGTCACCAGTGTAATTTGTTGGGCAAGTGCACCTGCCGCTGTCGCTGTTGCCGGTGGGGTCACATGTTCCTCCGTTCTCACAGGCGTGTTTGTCGGAACAAAATTGTCCGTACGACCCACCACCTTCAACAACAGCGGACACTGAAACATGCAACAATGTGTGATAAATGTCCCCTCTGTCAACTAGAATAGACAGTGGACGGAATGGCAAATATGCTATCAAGGTGTGAAGATGTTCAGTTCTGTTTTATCGGTGTACAGTAAAACTTTGATTTGCCGAAGATACGGTTGTCTCGAAGGGTAGCCATGGACTCTTCGTATTTCCTCTCTCTAAATATTCTTAGAAGTTCACTTCAGCGCAAGGGTAAACTATAAACTGCAGGTTACCAGCTGTAGTCAACCGAGAATACGGGACATTGAATGTAAAAAGAGGAATCAAGCACATAGAAGATGACTTGCTATGTCCGACTAGTGGCGTTGGGAATTGAATAATTGGAAAGCATGTAGACTTGTCGGGGAAGAAGTAAACCGTATTTAGGCTTACACCAGTACTCTGTAATATGCTTGTCTTGAACACTTCACTTGGCAATAAAGCTTGGTACTGACATTCTTATTCCATGATCCATTACTTCTGTGGAAGAGTATGAACACTCACCTGCAAGCAGAACAAGAGCACCGAATGGGGACAAGCAAGTTGTCATCTTGTTGCAGGGACAGGAGTAGATGGAGCTCCGTACAGCTGGGATGACGCACTGGCTGGTAGCGTTGTGTTAGGGTTGTGCATTTAAAGGATTTATTGCCAAGGGAAAATAAAACAGTAACGCTTCAGAAGTTTCAGTTTAAAAATATGCTGCACATATTGTTCACGGATGACGCTGTCAGTATCGCTTTTCAGTGAGACGAGCCTCTTGACAATGGCAAATACAATGATGCGCAGGAGAATTAGGGTACAGGAGACATAGGGTACAGGAGGCATAGGCTACAGGAGGCATAGGCTACAGGATATATAGGGTACAGGAGATAATATAGAGTACAGGAGACATAGGGTACAGGAAATAATATAGAGTACAGGAGACATAGGCTACAGGAGACATAGAGTACAGGGGACATAGGCTACAGGAGATGATATAGGGTACAGGAGACATAGGGTACAGGAGACATAGGGTACCGGAGGCATAGGGTACAGGAGGCATAGAGTACAGGAGACATAGGCTACAGGATATATAGGGTACAGGAGATAATATAGAGTACAGGAGACATAGGGTACAGGAAATAATATAGAGTACAGGAGACATAGGGTACAGGAGATGATATAGAGTACAGGAGACATAGGGTACAGGGGACGTAGGGTACAGGGGACATAGAGTACAGGAGACATAGGGTACAGGGGACATAGGGTACAGGAGACATAGGGTACAGGAGACATAGGGTACAGGGGACATAGGGTACAGGAGACATAGGGTACAGGGGACAGGGACATAGGGTATAGGAGACATAGGGTACAGGAGACATAGGGTACAGGAGACATAGGCTGCAGGAGACATAGGGCACAGGAGACATAGGGTACAGGGGACATAGGGTACAGGAGACATAGGGTACAGGGGACAGGGACATAGGGTATAGGAGGCATAGGGTACAGGAGGCATAGGGTACAGGAGACACAGGGTACAGGAGACAAAGGCTACAAGAGACATAGGGTACAGGAGGCATAGAGTACAGGAGACATATGCTACAGAGGATATAGGGTACAGGAGAGATAGGGTACAAGAGACATATAGGGTACAGGAGACATAGGCTACAGGAGACATAGGGTACAGGGGATATAGGGTACAGGAGACATAGGGTACAAGAGACATATAGGGTACAGGAGACATAGGCTACAGGAGACATAGGGTACAGGGGATATAGGGTACAGGAGACATAGGGTACAGGAGATATAGGGTACAGGAGATGATATAGAGTGCAAGAAATATAGGCTACAGATGAAATAGGGTACGGGAGACATAGGGTACGTGAGACACAGTACAGGTGATATACTGCAAAGAGATGTAGTGTACAAGAGATGATATAGAGTACAGGAGATATAGGGTATAGGAGATGATATATAGTTCAGGAGACATAGGGTACAGGAGATGATATAGAGTACAGGAGACATATGGTACAGGAGATGGTATAGGGCACAGGAGATGATATAAGGTACAGGAGACATAGGGTACAGGAGATGATATAGAGTACAGGAGAAATAGGGTACTGGAGACATAGGGTAGATGAGATGATATACAGCACAGGAGAAATAGTGTACGGGAGACATAGGATACAGGAGATATAGGGTACAGGAGATGATATAGAGTGCAAGAAATATAGGCTACAGATGAAATAGGGTACGGGAGACATAGGGTACGTGAGACACAGTACAGGTGATATACTGCAAAGAGATGTAGTGTACAAGAGATGATATAGAGTACAGGAGATATAGGGTATAGGAGATGATATATAGTTCAGGAGACATAGGGTACAGGAGATGATATAGAGTACAGGAGACATATGGTACAGGAGATGGTATAGGGCACAGGAGATGATATAAGGTACAGGAGACATAGGGTACAGGAGATGATATAGAGTACAGGAGAAATAGGGTACTGGAGACATAGGGTAGATGAGATGATATACAGCACAGGAGAAATAGTGTACGGGAGACATAGGATACAGGAGATATAGGGTACAGGAGATATAAAGGATTACAGGAGACATAGGGTACAGGAGATGGTATAGAGTACAATAGACATAGGGTAGAGTAGATGATATAGAGTACAGGAGACATAGGGTACAGGAGATGATATAGATTACAATAGACATAGGGTACAGTAGATGATATAGAGTACAGGAGACATAGGGTACAGGAGATGATATAGAGTACAGGAGACATATGGTACAGGAGATGATATTGAGTACAGGAGAGATATAGAGTACAGGGAGATGATACAATAGACATAGAGTACAGGAGAGATATAGATGAGTAGGGGTACAGTAGATGATATAGAGTACAGGAAAAGTAGGGTACTGGAGATATAGGGTAGATGAGATGAAATAGGGCACAGGAGAAAAAAAGTGTACAGGAGACATAGGGTACAGCAGATATAGAGTACAGGAGATGTAAGATTTTACAGGAGACATAGGGTACAGGAGATGATATAAATTACAGGAGACATTGGGTACAGGAGATGGTATAGAGTACAGGAGACATAGGGTACAGGAGATGATATAGAGTACAGGAGACATAGAGGTACAGGGGACATGGGGTACAGGGACATAGAGTACAGGAGACATAGGGTACAGGGGACATAGGGTACAGGAGACATAGGGTACAGGAGACATAGGGTACAGGGGACATAGAATTACAGGAGACATAGGGTACAGGGACAGGGGCATAGGGTATAGGAGACATAGGGTACAGGAGACATAGGGTACAGGAGACATAGGCTGCAGGAGACATAGGAGCACAGGAGACATAGGGTACAGGGGACATAGGGTACAGGAGACATAGGGTACAGGGGACAGGGACATAGGGTATAGGAGGCATAGGGTACAGGAGGCATAGGGTACAGGAGACACAGGGTACAGGAGACAAAGGCTACAAGAGACATAGGAATTACAGGAGGCATAGAAGTACAGGAGACATATGCTACAGAGGATATAGGGAACAGGAGAGATAAGGGTACAAAAAGAGACATATAGATTTACAGGAGACATAGGCTACAGGGGATATAGGGTACAGGAGAGATAGGGTACAAAGAGACATATAGGGTACAGGAGACATAGGCTACAGGAGACATAGGGTACAGGGATATAGGGTACAGGAGACATAAGGGTACAGGGAGATATAGGGTACAGGAGATGATATAGAGTGCTAAAAATATAGGCTACAGATGAAATAGGGTACAGGAGACATAGGGTGCACGTGAGACACAGTACAGGTGATATACTGCAAAGAGATGTAGTGTACAAGAGATGATATAGAGTACAGGAGATATAGGGTATAGGAGATGATATATAGTTCAGGAGACATAGGGTACAGGAGATGATATAAAGTACAGGAGACATATGGTACAGGAGATGGTATAGGGCACAGGAGATGATATAAGGTACAGGAGACATAGGGTATAGGAGATGATATATAGTTCAGGTGACATAGGGTACAGGAGATGATATAGAGTACAGGAGACATATGGTACAGGAGATGGTATAGGGCACAGGGAGATGATATAAAGGTACAGGAGACATAGGGTACAGGAGATGATATAGAGTACAGGAGAAATAGGGTACTGGAGACATAGGGTAGATGAGATGATATACAGCACAGGAGAAATAGTGTACGGGAGACATAGGATACAGGAGATATAGGGTACAGGAGATGATATAGAGTGCAAGAAATATAGGCTACAGATGAAATAGGGTACGGGAGACATAGGGTACGTGAGACACAGTACAGGTGATATACTGCAAAGAGATGTAGTGTACAAGAGATGATATAGAGTACAGGAAATATAGGGTATAGGAGATGATATATAGTTCAGGAGACATAGGGTACAGGAGATGATATAGAGTACAGGAGACATATGGTACAGGAGATAGTATAGGGCACAGGAGATGATATAAGGTACAGGAGACATAGGGTACAGGAGATGATATAGAGTACAGGAGAAATAGGGTACTGGAGACATAGGGTAGATGAGATGATATACAGCACAGGAGAAATAGTGTACGGGAGACATAGGATACAGGAGATATAGGGTACAGGAGATATAAGGTACAGGAGACATAGGGTACAGGAGATGGTATAGAGTACAATAGACATAGGGTAGAGTAGATGATATAGAGTACAGGAGACATAGGGTACAGGAGATGATATAGAGTACAATAGACATAGGGTACAGTAGATGATATAGAGTACAGGAGACATAGGGTACAGGAGATGATATAGAGTACAGGAGACATATGGTACAGGAGATGATATTGAGTACAATAGACATAGAGTACAGGAGATGATATAGAGTACAGGAGACATAGGGTACAGTAGATGATATAGAGTACAGGAAAAGTAGGGTACTGGAGATATAGGGTAGATGAGATGAAAAAGGGCACAGGAGAAAAAGTGTACGGGAGACATAGGGTACAGCAGATATAGAGTACAGGAGATGTAAGGTACAGGAGACATAGGGTACAGGAGATGATATAGAGTACAGGAGACATTGGGTACAGGAGATGGTATAGAGTACAGGAGACACAGGGTACAGGAGATGATATAGAGTACAGGAGACATAGGGTACAGGGGACGTAGGGTACAGGGGACATAGAGTACAGGAGACATAGGGTACAGGAGACACAGGGTACAGGAGACATAGGGTACAGGGGACATAGGGTACAGGAGACATAGGGTACAGGGGACAGGGGCATAGGGTATAGGAGACATAGAGGGTACAGGAGACATAGGATTTACAGGAGACATAGGCTGCAGGAGACATAGGGCTGGGAGACATAGGGTACAGGGGACATAGGGTACAGGAGACATAGGGTACAGGGGACAGGGACATAGGGTATAGGAGGCATAGGGTACAGGAGGCATAGGGGTACAGGAGACACACAGGGTACAGGAGACAAAGGCTACAAGAGACATAGATAGGGTACAGGAGGCATAGAGTACAGAGAGAGACATATGCTACAGAGGATATAGGGTACAGGAGAG